AACTGCCAGAGATGAAGCTGGCCCTGTAGGAGATTCACACGACCCAGTGCCCTCTTCTGAGCCCCTGCCCAGGGAGTGGTCACGATCAACTGGAATGGTTGAGTTAGCAAATCCTCTGCCTCCTGCAAACCTCAGGACTGCGAAGTCTTCTTCCTCCCAACCCCAACCTGTGCCTTAGGCCTTGGCTGATGTTTGTAGAACCAAATGGCTGTTAGCAGGAAAAAACTCAAACTCTTTGAAATAATTTAAAGAGGTTTATTCTGAACCGAATATAAATGACTGCTGGTCTGGGGACATATCTCAAGAGGTCCTGAGAAAAAAATGCCCGAGGTGGTTGATTGCAGTTTGGTTTTACACATTTTAGGGAGACAGGAATTGCAGGGAAAATCATGAATCAATACATGGAAGATATACATTTGTTTGGTCTGAAAAGGTGGGGCACCTCGAAGCGGGGGCTTACAGGCTATAGGTGGGTTCAGAGATATTTTGGTTTGTACTTGGTTAAAGAAATAAAGCTTTGTCTAAAGACCCGGAGTCAGTAGAAAGGAAAATTTGAGATGAGATAAGGGGGTGTGCTAATCAGGATGGGCTGGAGGTTCTCATTACACCATGGGGGCTGCTCCTGTGAGATACTCAAGAGCAGAGGCAAGTCTGGGCCAGGTCTGGCCGTGAACTGGGGTGGGGGGCACCCCATCCTGCGGGCAAGGCCTCGCAGAGGAGGAAGCAAGGGCCATAGAAAACCTACTGCCCTCGGGCGGGCAGGTAGGTTGTATGTGACAGGAGCCCAGCCTGGAGGCTGGCAGATGGGGGCATTCAGGGAGCAGGGTACCAGGGAAGTCTGGGCGCTAGGCAGCATTGGAGACAGCCCTGGGTTCAAATCCCAGCAGCTCCACTCATTAACGTGTTCATTTATTTGGTCATCCCACAGATAGCTATGGTGCGAGACTGGGCGTGTTCAAGGTGGTATGGTCGTAGACAAGGAATAGCTATCGAGCGGTGCTGGAGCCATTTTGCTCCTGAGTGGGAGACAGATATGAAAGTGGGCAGTTAGAAGACTGTGTGGAGGGCAATACTGGAGACACTGGGGGCCTAATGGGATCCCAGAGCATCAGCACCTGAGCCCTGTGTGGAGGAGGGGCGTGCCCAGCAGGGCTCCGCCTCCTGGGGAACCTGCCACCTGAGTGGAGCCTTAGAGACAGTGGGAGTTACATGCAAAATGTCCCAGGCCGAGAGAACAGCACAAACGGATTCACCGAGGAAAGTTTACATTAGATAGATTAGAAGGCTTTGGGTTGTAAACAGCAGAAAACCCAACCCAAAGTGTCTTTAACCAAAAGGAATTTATGGGGTCATACATTTTTAAGAGAAGCTGAGTTCTATTTTGGCCCTATGGTGTCTGAGGTGACCCTGACCTTTGGAGGCTGCTCAGGAGGGAGGACTCCCAGGAGAGGTGGAGCCCTCCCCGCCTTTGTGAGCGCTGGGACCTGCAGGCAGGGCAGTGGGCCCAGGACGGAGGCCTGGCCAGCCTTATCGAAGGGGTGCGGGGGTGGGGTGGGGGGGAGGAACGCAGGAAGACAACCAGGAAGGAATGTCTTGGAGGGAGGAGGAAGAGGAGAGCCATGAGAAAAGTCACAGAGGCTGAGGGAGGAAGTCTCAAGGAAGGACGCACAACCTGCGTCCCACATGCACCAGGCGGAGGGAGACAGAGGGTGAGGATGGGCCACCGTGCCCGTTGCTCACACCATGGAGCTGTCACCATGCTCCAGGCTCTGAGCCTCCTTGCCGCCCCCTCTGGTCTGCCCTGTGAACATGTTACAGATGAGGACCTGGGAAAGGGAGGTGGCCGAGGCTGATGGCTGATGAAAGGCCTATTGGAGACAGCTGAAGTCGTGGCAAGGGTGAGATCTGGGACTCAGAGTTCTTTTTGAGAACCACTCTCCCTCCTCCTTAGCCAATATAGATCAGGCTTTGATTGATCTAAGTTAATCAGCAGACTCCGTCCAACCCTTCCAGTCTCACTGGTCCCTTCGGGGATACTAACATGACCTAATTCAAATCAGTGACATCCAGGCCCAGGACATTTAGAGAGAGAAGCTTTGTTTCCTCTGTGCTGAGTACAAAGCTGAGATGGTGTGACGCCTGGAGCTGCTGCAGCCATCTTGCAGGCCTGAGGGGTAATCCTACCTGAGAATAGGGATAATACAAGTTCAGAAGTAGAGCTAACCTCAGCCACAGAGAGCTGGATGACAATGTGACAGTGAGTTCTGCCTTGAGCTGTACCTGAAGCCAACTCTACCCCTCAACTTTACCATCAGCAAGCCAATAAATTCCTTGTCTGCCTCACTAGTTTGCTTTACTCTTCTGTCATTAACTGAAGGCAAACCGTGTCAGTTATCTGCAGCCACAATTAAGCCGTGTAAGAAAGCACCCTATAGTTCATAGTGGCTTAAAGACTTGAGCTCATGAGGCTGGATCAATGTTTAGACTGGACTTGACTGGGCAGTTCTGGTCTTGGCTGAGATGAGTGGGCCACACACTGAGGTCACAGTGACAAAGATTTGTGCCACTGTTGATGTTTTGTCTAGAAGCTCACAGCCATCTAGGAGAGGTGTGTGAAAAGTGGTTTGTGATACATGCAGAGCCTCACGACAGTGGGTTCATGAGGTCGGAGGGCTCCTGCTTGGGGTGGTGTCCCTCCTATGGGATGGCAGTCACTAACTGGCTGACAGGCTCATTCCTTTGTCATCCACCCAGCAACCCAGGTCAGACCCAAGCAGGTGAGTGTGTCCGGGCAGCAGCTGTCCACCTGCTGTGGGGCAGAAGAACTGGTCAGCTGGGTCCAGCCCAAACCATAGAACTGTGAGTAAATAAATTGTTTTAATCTGCCAAGGTTCAGGGTGGTTTGTTTTGCAGCAGTAAATAAACTAAAACAAGTTATTAGTTTAAAGGAATTAGTTTCCAGCTATAACCGAGTCTCTGGAAATTTACTGGAGCAAGTGAGTGGCCAAGGATGCTGGCCATAGGGCTGGCCCTGGGCAGGGCCTTTCGCTTCCTTGAGCTTTAACTAGAGATCTGTAGATGCTCTATGATTTGGGGTGCATCAGAGGAGGCTTCTGGTGAACTGGCAGTGATGGGCTGTCTGGATTTGAGGGTTTTGCCTGCCCAACGCTCAAGCCCCAGTCTGGAAAGCAACCTGGGTGTTTGATGGTAGATGTTGACATCATTATCACCACTGCCCTCATCTCGCCCATGCAGATGGGGCTTCACAGGCTGCACGTAGTTCCCTTTATTTCATTTTATCTTCTGGGTGCAGTAAAGCTGTCGATGGGCCCTGTTTATAGACAGTCGACAGTCTGGAAGAGAATATGTGCCCTCCGAGGTCATGAGCCTGTCACTGCCCCCACACCTACCTGGCCAGCCACTGGGGGAGACGATTGTAAACTGACGCTCACAGGCAGCACGATGCATCTCCTGGGCTGCGATAACTTTGCACCAGCCTCCCCTGGCCGTTCTGAGCTGGCGCTTACCTGTGCTCCCCATGGACTGTGATCCTCCCGAGAGCAGAGAGAGTCCTGTCTCCCTGCTCCCCAAGCAGTGCCTGCGCCCGGCTTGCTCAGGAGCTTGGACGATCTTTGAACATTAGCACTGCCTCCGACACCATCCTCTCTGCCTCCCTCCCTCCTCTGCCCCGTCCCCATCCTCCTCCTCCTCCAGTGGACAATGACAGACGAGTGCAGTTTGGCAGCTTCTGGTGTTAAGCAAACTGAGCCTGCCATTCACTGCCTTAGTTAAGGTGTCCAAGGCTCACTTTCCACACCTGTACAGTGGGAATGAGGAGGAGGGAAACCTTTTGGCCAAAAGTTTGCACAAAGTAGGCACTTAATTAATAAATAAAACCTGCAAATATTTATGCTGATGGTGGTGCACCCTAGGATGTGATTTAAGGGTTGTAAACTTGATCTTAAACCATCAGTGGGTCACTGTTGCCCTCTTCTGGCCGGGGGTGGTGTCTACAGCTCCTCCACTCCCTCCGAGCTGGGGAGTTGTGGCCCTGCCCCCATCCCCACGCCGGGCATGTGCAGCAAGTGCCTTCCTGGGCTTGGGGAGTATGGCCAGGAGTCCAGGCCATCCTGGCCCTCGGGTGTCAGATTACGCATGCTTGGCATTTTGTGAGTGCTCAGGAGACATTAGCCCTGCTCTGGCCACCAACACTGCTTTCATTCCTCCTGTCATCTCTGGGCCTGTCTCCCTGTCTGACATGGAGGTTGCACAGCCGCCTGCAGGGGACCAAGGCAGAGCTCAGAGTGTCTGTTCCTACCATTTCAGAGAGTCTCACCTAGGGACGCCCAGGACAATGCTGGCACCCACCTGGTCCAGAGGAAGCCCCCACATTCCAAGCCTCCAGGTGCTGTCACAGTACAAGTCCAAGATCAGCTCCCTGGGAAGGGGAGGACTACTCCTGGAAAAGAAGTTGCCACCCTGACCCGCCGCCAGAGGGCTGGTGCTGGGAACCCAGGTCTGGAGTCTAAGTGACTGTGTGACCTTGGTCGAGGCATTTCAAGCCCCTGACTGACACAGGGAAGAAAACCACTGAGGCAGGAGCATGGGTTTTGATGCCCCAGGGCAGAATTGTGGGGGAATCGTCCCCTCCCTGCCTTTGCACCAAAGCCTGCATCCAGATCCCCAAAGGGGTCCCCGGCCCCACAGGAGGGCGGGTGCCACCAGGCCTAGGAGCTAGGCTCGCTTCTGCTTCCTTCTGCCGGACCTCTGTGCAGCATCTTCCGCTCCCAAGCTCTTTCCACCTGTGCCTGGGGGGTAACTGCATCCCTAAGCGAAGGTGCTCCGTACATCTGCCCTTGTCCCCACCAGCCATGCAGTCCTTGGTCTCATACCTCATTGGTTCAGACTTGACAACCGCAGGGCATCTTTGGCAAGACCAGAGCTCCCACCCCTCCCTGCCCCACAGCACCCACAAACTGGCCACACACGCAGACCCTTTGGACTTTGTATCTGTTTTTATTATTAATATTATCTTCTCCTTTTAAGCATCCCTTTAAGGGTGAAATGAAATCCAACCATTTACAGAGAAAATGATTTCAGAATGTACATATTGATTTTCCCTTACAAAAAAAATAATACTATTATTATTGGTGTCCTTAAATTATACATTTCCCAGGGCCCTGCCTTCTGCTTGGGCAAGTCCCATCAGTCTCCCCACCCCTCTCCCCTCGGCCCCCAACGCTCTCCCACGCTGCCCCAGGGAACCGACGTGACCCACGAGTGGACAGGGCCAGCCGAGCTCCCTGGGTGCTTGGCACAGGTGAGCCTACTTGGGTCTAGAGGTCATGGGGCTAGTGGTTTCCGGGGAGAGGGATCTGGATACACCAACAGGACAGCAGTGTGCCGGCGTTCACATTTAGTTTGGTTTCCCTTCACGTTGGGGGAGTGGCCCGGAGCCCCCCAAATTCCCAGTGTATGCTGTGATGGTACACGAAGCTCTTCAACCCCACGTCCTGGCGCCCCAGCCCTCTGACAGCTGTCCTCTCCGCCAACCGCCAGGGCTGCACCCGCGCTGCTGTGAACAGGCCCCTGCCCCACGGGGTCTGGGGAGACGGGGCCTGGCAGGTCCGAGCTTCTCCCCTTTTCCTCCCCCTGCCCCTGAGCACTGGAGGCCAAGGACCCCTGCAAGCCTGGGGAGGTGCTGGGAGGGGGGGTGAGGAAGCCGTCGAGGAGGGAGGCCCTGGGCTGGGGTCAGGCATGATTCAGGCGCCTGTCCATGGGGCACAGAGAGGCTCCTCGGGAGGGCAGCCCAGCCTGGACTGACCCAGGGCCACAGCAACACCCTGACTTCTCAAGCCACCTCTCAGCCCCAAGGGGAACCAGAGAGGAAGTCTGCTGTGACTTCAAAGGAGGGGTTCCCTGGGGGATCCCCTAGACAGGAGCAAGAGTACTCCAACCCATCAGGAACTCCCAATAAGACATCCAGAGAAAAGGCCTCACTGGAGGTGGGGCGGGGCCAAGAGGGGCTGGGGAGGTAGTGGGCTCTCAGCTGCACGGCCCGCAGGTCGGGAGCGTTCCCATTCCTCAGACTGCAAGACAGACGGACAGACCCTGCATCTCCTTTAGCCTTGCCTCCTGGGCTCCCCAAGGGCTTATTGCCTCAGTCATTTTGGGGAGCTGCAGGAGGTGTGGCCACAGGCTCCAGGTCCTGGGGAAGAGGACACCTGGGCCTGGGCTCCCATGTCCACACACAAACCTATAGTTACAGGGACACGTCGATACAGACATGTACAAATACACACCAAGCATGCACCCATGCCCATAAATATACACACACACCCACAAACACATACCATTCCCACAGGCAGACTCCGCACACCGCGTCACTCGGTAACGTGTGAGCGGGCGGGGGGAGAGGGAGCTCCCTTCCCACACAGCTGCGGCTCCCACTGCACCCTGGCCCTGGGCTGGCACAGCCAGAGGAACAGGAGCAGGTGTTCCAGAAGCTCTGACGAGAGCAGCATCTGACTGAAGCAGTCATTCCTACCACCTCCCCTTCCCCTCCGCCAGAGGCGCTACTTGTCTCCTGTATGCATTCTCTTCTCCCCAGTTAACAAGAGGACTCCCAGGCTGAGGCCTGCACATGGCAGCCCAGCTTGACTACACTTCCCAGTTGCCCTTGCAGCTGCTTGTGGTCATGTGACTGAGGCCTGGCCAATGAGATGCTAGCAGAGTGACAGAGCCATTTCTGGTTCATGCCCTTAACAGGAAAGGGCATGAACCTCCCTTGCCTATCTCTGCTTCCCCCAGGATTGGATGCACACAGGATGGTGGGAGGTGGAGCAGCCGCTCTGCCCAGAATTGGAAGGTGTGTACGAAGGAAAACAGAGCTGCCCTACTAGCTCTGGACCATCTTCCTCTAGACAATTTAATTAGAAACAAGCTCTGTTCTGCGTAAACCACTGTATTTCAGGGTCTCTTAATTACAGCAGCTTAGAAACTACTCCAACAAATACACCCCCACCCAAGGCAAACTATGAGGAATGGGATGACATATAACTGGCCTTAATGTCCCTTCTTGGGCCCAGGATAGCCTCGAGGGTCCTTTCTGGCCCCTAGCCATCCTCAAGGAGGGGCACAAGAGTGATCCCACCTGGGAGGGTGGAGAGCTGGGTCTGTGGGTGCCAGCAGGAAGGGGTGACAGGGAGGAAGGGGTGAATAGATGCTGGGCCCTTCTGTCAGTTTCCTCCTTTCTCCCTCCCCCAGGTACCACCTACAGCTGGACTCCTGGCCTTGCAAGGACTGAATGGGCAGCCCACAAGACAGCAGTATAAAAAGTAAGAAGGACTGTCAAGGCCAGGTTTGGGAGACAAAGGAAGACTCCGCAGGGCTCCCGGGGCCCTGTGCCATGTCAGTTCCTACGGGCCGGGAGGACAGAGACAGACTCAGGCACCAGCCACCCAGTGCGGTGTCATGTCCTCTGGGGCAGGTGTACCCCAAAGCTCTCCTCTCTCTTCGGCCCAGCACTGCTGATAACACCGCACAGCATCCACCAGCACTTCCTCTCAGCTGGATGTCATTTGTCATCCCCTCCTTCCTAGGTGTCCCCTCTTGCTCCTGGACCCAAATGCATCTATATACAGAGCCCTTGGCCCTCCTGGCATGCCCTTTCCCCCTGCAGGTCCAAAGCCCCAGGATGCCAACGGTGGGCTCCTCCCCAGCCAGGCCACGCCCTCATGGGCACTCGAGTATTCCTGCGGGATCCCTTCCCCCACCCTGCCTGCCCTCCCTTTCTGCCCAGAGAGACCACGGTGCACTCCCCAGCAGCACGTCTGGCCACAGCACTCTTGGCGGGCAGAAGGGCCAAGCAGGTGTCTCAGCCTGCCCCACTTCGCGTTTTGGGCCCAAAGGCCTGACCCTCGATTCACAAGTGCTTGAGTGGGGGAAGCCCCATCCTCCCACCCACCCACTCCAGGTCCTCTCAAGAACCACCAAGCCAAGCCGGCAGAAGGAGACAGGGAGATAATTCTAGGGGCGGCCACCACCCTGCACCCTGCCACGGGCCCTATAAGGTCATGCAGCCTTAGCCTTCAACCTCGTCCGATTTGCCGGGGGCAGGTGGCCGTCCCTCCGGAAGCCTGCCGCGCCGCCCGCCTTGCGCCGTGCTCCTGGGCTCCTGGTAGGGGTTGTCCAGCAGGTAGCGGAACTGCTCGTAGTTCTTGAGCAGGTACTTGGGCGCGTACATGTGCTCGCTGGGGTCGGCGGGCGGGTACTCCTGCTGCGTGCCGTCGAACCAGCCGCCCGTGCGGATCAGGCTCCGGATGTAGTTGAGGTCGCGCTTGTCCTCGTAGTCGCCCCAGCGGGGGAAGTCGCCGTTCTGGGCGGACACGAGCTTGAAGTAGATGCCCTCGGGCGTGAAGCACCAGGAGCAGTGCCAGCCCGCGAAGTGCAGCGGGCTGCCGAGCGACCACTGCACCAGGATGTGGCCCGTGCGGTTCTCGTACTGGCGGAAGTTGGGCATGGTGTAGTACTGGCGGCGGCGCAGGCGGATGCCGTCCAGCGCGTACACGGCGCGCAGCATGTCCACCGTGCAGCCCGACACCACCTCCAGCGTGCCCGGCTGCTTCCAGAAGAAGCCGTACAGCGACTTGCGCATGTGGAAGGCGAAGGGCTCGGTCCAGCCGTCGTAGAGCTTGAGGAAGAGCACGCCGTCGCGCGCCGGGATCTCGTCGGCGTCGTCGATGATGAACACGTCGTCGGGCCGCAGGTTGCGCAGCCGCGAGACGCCGTCCTGGGTGAGGAAGGTGCGCAGGTAGTCGTCGGCGATCCAGCCGTCCTGCCGGCCGCCCGGCGGGAAGTGGTCCAGGAAGACGTAGAGCACCTTGTGGCGGATGTACTCGAAGGTGCCGTTGGTCAGCATCTCGCGGAACTTGAGCGGCCGCGGCTCGCCGTAGGCCGTGAAGTTGGACTCGCACACCACGAAGGCGTCCACCACGTCGCCCAGCTCGTGGAAGCGCACGTCCAGCAGGTCGAACTCGTGGTTGACGTTGATGGCGTTGATGACGCGGCGCGGCACCTCGCGCGGCACCAGCCGCTCCTTGGTGGGCAGGTTGGAGTACTGCACCACGGTGGGCACGCCGCAGCTGGGCCCGTGCCAGCCGGGCAGGCACACGCACTCCACCCACTTGCGCCGCGGGCCCCGGCCGCCCGCGCGCTCGCGGGCGCTCAGCAGGTACCGGGGCGGGCGCCTGGCCGAGGAGCCTTTGGCCCCCTCGTGCTTCTCCTCCGGCCGCCCGGGGGGCGGCTTCTCCAGCATCTTGGTGCCTGGTTTGAAGCAGACCCCCCCGGCTTTGGTGCGCACGAAATACTCGGTGGTGTCCTCGGGCAGCACGAAGTCCACCCTGTGGAGTTCCTCGGTGGCCTTGCTTGGTGACAGGGGCTGCAGCAGGGGCGAGTGGGAGTAGAGGGGGGTCCGCAGCAGGTCGGGGCTTTCTGGCTCGGGGCTGGCCTGGGGCGTGACCGGGGCATTGTTCCAGAAGAAGCTGGATACAAGGTTAGGGCTGAGGGAGGCCAGTTCTCTGGGGAAGGTGACATAGGACAGGGTCTTAAAGAAGTGCAGGAAGGAGATGAGGCACAGGCCGGCCATACAGAACATGAGAAAGAGCTTGTAGCGTCTCATCTTCATCCTGCGGAGAAGGAGGGAGAGAGCAGACAGGTTAGGGCCCCCTGAGACTTTTCTAGGAAGGGGACCTGAGGAGGCCTCTGCTATCACCGTGTTTGGGAATGCCCTGGCCAGCGCCCGGTGCCCCTGCATGAGTCATCTCCTGCCCCCAAGGCCCCTGGAAGACCCAGCATCAAGGAAACTCCTCTTGCTCCCACAGCCCTTCCCCTAGAGATCACCAGGCCACCACAGTGCCCCTCTGCAGCCGGCCCCACCCTGGCCATACCTGCGGCATGGCTAGGCTGCGATCCAGGAGCAAACACATCCAGGGAAAGCTCAACGCCACGGGCGGGCCCTGCCTGGGGATCACAGGCCCCAAGGGAGGGCAGGTGGCAGGCTGCCCACGGGAGGCCCGTCCCGGTAGGCTGCGGTGCAGGTGTGGTGCGGGGCGGGCCTCTCCTTCCTTCCTCCCTCCCTCCCTCCTTTCCCAGCTATCTTTTTTGTGGACATACTGACAAACCTGTTGCATACTTTTTCACCAAAAAAAAATTCATAGGTCTCAAGGGAATGCACTTAATTCTAACAAATTTAAAGAATAAAATTAAGTAAAAGTTCCCATTCATTACCCCGCATCCTGTATTGGATGCTCAGGCAGGAAGAAATCTGAGGTATGTCACTGGTTTTATATGTAATTTTTCTGTTCTTGATTTAGTATTTTTCATGAATATTATCATATTGGACACTAAGTCTAACCAAGTTGTTTTCCTCAATCAATGATAGATTTAAAAGATTTTCATAACAGTAGAAATAAATCTACCAGTTCCTTTTAAATCCCACATAATCTTACGTGGTTATTTTGAATGAATCATTCTCTATTCATGAGTGATTCATGATATAACTATTTGCTATTCATTTATAGCTTAATTTGTCAATTAGTTTATGACTGTGGAATGGAGATGCATTTTAAATATGCTTTTAATTTTAGAATATTTATAGATTATCAGAAAAGTTGCCAAGATAGTACAGAGAGTTCCTTACACATCTCACCTATTAGTGTCTCACACCACCATGATACATTTGTCACAAGTAGGAAACTGACATTGGCATGTCACCATTAACCAAATCTCACACTTTATTTGGACATCTTATCTCATGAATGAGCTTGTACAGTGACAGAGCACTTCTGACTGCCACCATCCAGCTCCTTTGGTCCTTGAACCCAGGCAGGTGGGCCAGGAGGTTACACCCATTTGACCAATGAAAATGCCATGTGGGCCAAAGACTTGTCTGGGGGGACCCACCAAGGCACAGAAGAGGCTAGGACAGAAATCTTGTCTTTGGTATCTCACACTGTCCTTCCGTCCAGGACGTTCTTTCCCTTACAATGTTCCTCTCTGTGGCTTCTCCTGACTTCTCTGGTCCTCCCCCTGGTTAGCTGGGTGCCGTCCTGCCATCCTCTCCCCATCACTTCCTAACTCGGAGCACAGCAGGGGAGAGTGGAAAAGAGACACTTGGCTTCAAACTCCTGCGACCTTAGCAAGGCTCCTCACCATGCTGAACCTCTGTCTCTATGTCTACGAAATGGGGGCAGGGCTCCTGGTGTACGGAAGGTGCTCAAGGAGCTTCTGCTGCTTTCCATGCTCAAGGCTGGAAGCCCCCGAAGTAATTTTCCCTGAGCTACATGGTTGTAACGCACAGAATCGTGAACTATTTGATCTAGAAAACAAATTCTAAGGCCCATCTCCTCCCGCTCTTTCACAAGCCGGTGGGGAGGTAAAATTTGTGCAACAGGGGCTTGGATCAAGATGGCGGACGAGAAACACCGCCAGACAGAGTGTCTCTGCAGAAAAGACAGATTCTAGCAGAAATTAGAAAAAAGAAGCAAGAAGACGAGCATACAGCAGACGAGGGCCAGAAGGAGGGGTACCTGAGATCACGGGAGACTCCACGGGAGGAAGTTGCGGAGGAGAACTGGAAGCTGAGACCGCCGGAGCAGCCCGGAGACCAGCGGGAAGGGTAGGTGGATCAGTCACCTTTCCCATCCCCTGCATCTGGGACTGCTGGTGGGCTCCCCAGCGGGTAGAGAGACCTGCGGACACCAGCCCAGAGATGGCAGCCGCCAGCGAGCGGTAAGCCTGTAGCAGATGCCGCACCAGGCTCCCAAATCCCTCGGGGCACCTCCGTGTGCACAGACCCGAGCCGTGTGCCAGGCGCCATATTGCCTCCTTCTCCCCTCCGCCGACCCTATCCGCGGCTGCCCAAAGAGACAATATAGCCACCAGACAGAGGCACCTCCAGGGAATGGGACCTTCCCTTTTGGGACCCTACAGCTGACTAAGGGGAACTCAGACAGTGAGCTCCCTACCTGCCAGCCCTCCCAGGAGCTGCTGGCATGGTGATCCCAGGAGAATGGGGCAGACCCTGAGGCTGAGAGACATAGACCCAGCTTGGGCTCCCTGTGAGTGAATTGGGACTGGCACTCCTCTCCCTGGTGGGGATATAGTTTGAACTCTGGGGCTCAGAAGGGATATATGTGAACAGCCTACTGAGGTGTGTGTGCCTTCAGGGGCAGATCAGCGTCCTAGAGGGCAACCCTCCTCCCAAAAGGAGGCCGTGTGCCCAGCCCAGGTGGCGTTCCTGCGCAGGGAACCTCCCCGCCGGCATCACAGTCCGGGGAGGCCTGGTGGCGTGTGGTCTGGCCTGCTGGCAGAGGCCCAGGAGTAGCTTCGGAGTTGGGGAGGGTGGAAAGAAACGAGGCCCCCTCCAGACTGCGGGTCTCAGACAGCCCCACCCCCACATACAAATTTTCTCACTGAGTGGGGCTGTTCCAGCCCCTCCCTGACAGCTTTTCCTGGAAGTAGTGAACAGAACTTTGACCCCTGATAACAGCATTGGTGGTGCCTGAGGGCAGGCTTACCCAACCCAGCTCCGCCCAGCTCTCTCCTAGACAGCCTCACTGAGGGGAGAAAGAGGACGACCACCTGGTAAGCGGGCCCAACCACCCTGTCCTGAGGCACTAGAGTTCTCCCTACAGGAACAAGAGACTGATAACAGGAACCACAACAACAGCGTGAGCTGTTCCTCCTGGCAAGCGGCAGCTACTGAGAGGGAGGACATCCTGCGACACCCTATTCAGGGGCACCCACTGACTCATTTCTACAGAGGGAGTGGTCGAATCTCACCCACGACACCACCTACCGGCGCAGAAACCTAGAACAAGCGTGTGACATACGACCAAACAAAAACCCTAAAGGAAAGAAACAACAATGATCAACATGGGAAGAAATCAGCGAAGGAACTCCCACGAAATATGAAGAACCAAATGGAAAAACACACCCCAAAGAGGAACAACAGCCCCTACGAAACGGACACCGAACCAAAATCAAGGCAACCAAAACTGATCGACGAATGACGGAATTATCCTTATGTGGATCATAAGAACACTCATCCGACCTGCAAGAACTACACCCAATAACCACACAAAGGAAACCACAAAAAGCCTCCGGACGCTAGAACAAAAGTATCACTTAAAGACAATAGACACAATGAAGAAAGTTTAACCGATATCCTGGAAACTGAAGGAATCAATTTAGGGAACTACAAGCAATACAGTGGAAAGTCTCAAAGAACAGGGTAGAATCAAACATGAGAAAGAATCTCAAGAGATGAAGATACACGCCCTCCAACTAAATAGAAAACAGTCACAGAGATTAGAGCAGAGAACAAGAGAAAAGAGCAAAATCCTACAAGAGAGGTGGGTTATCGTGAAGAAACATAATGTGAGGTGCATAGGGTTATCCAGAGGAAGGGCAAAGAAGATCAACACTCAAGGGTTGGACAAGCTATCTTGAAGATATAATTTAGAGGAAAAAAGGTTTCCCAGCCTTGGCTCAAAATCTCGACAGTACAAGTTCAAGAAGCTCAGAGGGACCCCTGGGAGATTCAATTCAACAGGGAAGATGTCATCGACGAGGCAGTTATCGAGACTGACCAAATAGTCAACTAAAGAGGCCTCTAAGAGCTGTAAGACGAGAAGCAAGTAAGCATGACAAGGGAAAGCCAATTCGAATAACACCAGGACTTCTCTATGAGACTATTACAAGCAAGGAGAGACTGGGGCCCCCAATTCTTCACTGCTTGCTGAAAACAAACAATGCCCAGCCTATGAATCATGTCCCTGCAAACTAAGTTTTTGTTATGAAGGAAGAAATAAAAGACATCTCAGACAATGCAAAAGTCTCAGAGAATTCACAAGGACAAGTACCAGTCCTACAAAGAAGTTACTCAAAACGCAGCGTTACAGCACGGAACACCATAATAAAAACTCTGACAAATATAAAACACCAAAACCCAAAGATTAAAGGCCAGGTAATACAAGCTGCCAAAGAGATGAAGATCAAAGCAAGCCAATCATTCCAATCCCAACAGAATGAACATAATGCTACCTTACCCTATCAGTTGTCTCCAATTAAATGTGATGGCCAGGCGCGGTGGCCACGCTTGAATCTTAGCTCTCTGGTGAGGGCGAGGGTGGGCGGATGTTGCTCGAGTCAGGGTTCGAAACAGCGAGCAAGAGCCGAGACCGCTGTCTCATATAGAATAGAAAGAAAGTTAATTGGCAACTAATATATATAGAAAAAAATTATGCCGGGCATGGTTGGCACATGCCTGTAGTCCCAGCTACTTGGGGAGGGCTGAAGGCAGAAGATTGCTTGAGCCAGGAGTTTGAGGTTGCTGTGAGCCAGCTAACCCAGGGCATTCACTTGTAGCCTAGTGCAACAAAGCGGACTCTGTCTCAAAAAAACTAACAAAAATAAATGTCTTGGAAAGTAAATTTTGGGGGGGCTTAACTCTCGCACTCAAGGACACTAGCTGGCTGATATGGATAAGAAAATACAGGCCAACGGTACGACTGCTGTTCTTCATGGGAATACACATTGCTTAAACTGCAAGGATGGCATATAGACTAAATAGTAATAAGGGTGGATATCAGTATTTCAGGCAAGTGGAAGCCAAAAGAAGGCTGGCAATGGCAGTTCTAGATTTCAGATGATTTAGTTTTTAAACCAACAAAAGTAGTGGAAGACAAAGAGGGTCATCTAGTATATAATGGTGAAGGGCATCACTTCAACAAATGAGGAGATAAACAATGTTTATAAATGATATATGCACCCAACTTAGGTGCACCAGTATTCATATAAGCAAACCTTACTGTGATATAAGCAAATGATTAATAACATACTCCATAATCACTGTGATTTCAACAGTGCCCACTGATGGCACAAGACAGATCCCTTCAAACAGAAATTAATAAAGAAGATAATGACTTAAACAAAACTCTGGAACAATTGGCTTCTGACTGAATTTACAGGGACATTCTACCCAAAATCAGCTGATATACGTTCGTTCTCATCAGCTCACGGACATTGTCTAAGATTGACCATTCCTAGGCACAAGAGTAAATCTCAAGAAATTTAAAAAAATTAAGAAATCATTACATGTACCTTCTCAGGATCACAGTGGAAGTAAAAGTTAGAATCGACCCTAACAGAAACTCACATTTCTACACGTTGGGGAAAGTAGACGAACCTCCTACTAAATGATGTTACTTCATAAAGGAAGAAATCAAGATGGAAATTTAAAAAATTCTATGAAGAAAAGTGACAATAGAGAGGCAAGTTATCAACTCCTCTGGGACACAGCTAAAGCAGTTCTGAGAGGAAAGTCTATCTCCATAAATGCCTAACACCAAAAGTCAAAAAGATCGACAAATAGACAATCTAAGAACGATCAAAAGAGCTGGACAAAAGAAGAGACAGGACCAACCCCAACCCAAGCAGAGAATGTGAAACAACAAGATCAAATCAGAACTTAAACAAAATTGAAAAGGGAAGCTTTCAGGAGATTAATATGAAACAAGAGAAGTGTGGTTCTTTTTGAAAAATAAACAAAAATTAACGCAATTGGCTAAGGCTTACCGGGGAAAAAGCAGAAAGAGAATCTCTAATAAGCTCCAATCAGAACAAAAAAGAGATATCACAGATGATGCCAAAGAGAGTACGATATATAATTTATGAATTAGCTACAAATCTTTATGACACAAACTGGAAATGTGGAGGAAATGGACAATTCCTAGAAACACACAGACCTTCCCCTGTAGGCTCAATACCAGGAAAGAAATAGATTCGCTGTGAACAACATCTCAGGAGTTGAAATAGAAACAGCAAATTAAAAAAGTGTGTCTCCCTAAAAGAAAAAAGTCCCCGGTCCAGATGGATTTCACACCCGGAATTTCTACCACCACTAAAGAGAACTAGTACCTAGTCTGTTGCAGGAACTATTCCGCAACAGTGAGAAGAACTGAACCTCCCGACAACCTTTTATGAAGCGAGATATTTACTCTGATGTACGAAAACCCAGGAAAGGACTGCAACAAAAAAAGAAAACTACAGACCAACTGATCCTAAGAATATAGATGCAAAAAATTTTCAACAAAATTTTAGCTTAAGCCGATCCAGACGCGTATCAAAAAAATAATTTCATCTACGACCAACGTTGGTCGTTGCATTCCCAGGCGATGCAGGGATGGTTCACACTAGTACGTATAATTCTGTAGAATGCAATCACGCGCACATAAACAGAAGCAAAAACAAAAGACCAGCATGTGATTTTTCGTTAGATGCAAAAAAAAGGCTTTGACAAAATGTGCAAGCACCCTTCATTGAGTCATGAACACTTAAGAAAAATGGCATAAAAAACACCAAAAAATGATACAAGCCATATATGATCAGCACCCATAGCCAAGGAGGCGATACTGAATGGGGAAAAACTTGGAAAGCATTCCCACTTAGAACTGGAACCAGACAACTGCCCGTACGTCCACGTTCTATTCAATTGTGCTGGGTCCTGGGCTACAGCATCAGACGGAGAAAATGGAATTAAAAAGGCTACCAGAATAGGGGCAGAAGATGCAAACTTCACTGTTTGCTGATGATTGATGGATTATATTGGAAAACCCAAAGAGTTCAACCAAGAACTCCCTGGAACTAATAATGAAATTAGTAAAGTCTCAGGATACAAAATCAATACACAGAAATCAGAGGCATTCGTATACGCCAACAACAATCTAATTGAGAACCAAATCAAAGACTCAATTCCCTTCACAATAGCAACAAAGAAATTAAAGTACCTAGGAATATACTTAACCAAGGAGGTACAAAGACTCTACAGGGAGAACTATGAAACACCTGAGGAAGAAATAGCAGAGATGTAAACAGATGGAAATCCAGTACCATGCTCTGGATCGGGCAGACTCAATATCATAAAATGTCTATACTACCAACTGATCTACATGATCAATACATACCTATTAAAATCCCGATCAGCATTCTTCACAGATATAGAAAAATAATTTTACGCTTCGTATGGAACCAAAGAAAAACCCCGAATATCAAAAGCAATTCTAGGTAACAAAAACACAAAAATGGGAGGCAATTATATTGCAGATATCAAACTATACTACAAGCTGTAGTAATTTAAATCATCAATATGGTATTGCACAAAAATAGGAATATTGACAGTGGAACAGGTGTGAGAATCGCTGATATGAAACCATCCTCATAAAGCCATCTAACTCTGACAAACGACAAAACATACGCTGGGGAAAAGAATCCTTTTCAATAAATGGTGCTGGGAAACTGGATAGCCACTTGTAGAAGGCTAAAGCAGGACCGCACTTTAACCTCTCACAAAAATCAACCTCACGCTGGATAACAGACTTAAACCTAAGGTATGAAACTATTAGAATTCTAGAGGAAAGAATGTTGGAAACCACTCTCCTAGACATCAGCCTAGCAAAGAGTTTATGAAGAAGTCCCCAAAGGCAATCACAGCAGCAACAAAAATAAATAAATGGGATATGATCAAACTACAAAGCTTCTGCACAGCCGAAGAAATAGTCATGAAAGTAAACAGACAACCTACAGTATGGGAGAAAATTTTTGCATCCTATGCATCCGATAAGGGGCTGATAATTAGAATATACTTAGAACTCATGAAAATCAGCAAGAAAAAAAATCAAATAACCCTATTAAAAAGTGCGAAAGGACTTGAACAGAAACTTTTCTAAAGAAGGACAGAAGATAGGCAACAAACATATGAAGAAATGCTCAACATCTCTAATCATCAGGGAAATGCAAATCAAATACCACAATGAGATATCACTTAACTCCAGTGAGAATGTGGCATTTATCAAAAAGTTTCCAAACTATAAATGCTGGCGTGGGTGCGGAGAGAGAAGAACACTCCTACACTGCTGGTGGGACTGCAAAATAGTTCAACACCTCTGTGGAAAGCAATATGGAGATACCTTAAAGCAATACAGTGAATCTACCATTTGATCAGCAATCCCATTGCTGGGCATCTACCCAAAAGATCCAATGACACTCTACAAAAAAGGACACCGGCGGCGCCAGTGGCTCACCGCCTGTAATCCTAGCTCTCTCGACCGAGGCAGGGTGGATGCTCGAGTCGGAGTTCGAAACCACCTGAGCAAGAGCGAGACCCCGTCTTCTACTATAAATAGAAAGAAACTAATTGGCAACTAATATATATAGAAAAAATTAGCGGGCATGGTGGCTCATGCCTGTAGTCCCAAGCTACTTGGAGGCTGAGACAGAAGGATCCCTTGAGCCAAGAGTTTGAGGTTGCTGTGAGCTAGGCTGACGCTATGGCACTCACTCTAGCCTAGGCAACAAAGCGGACTCTGTCTCAAAAAAAAAAAAAAAAAAAGACACCTGCACTCGAATGTTTATAGCAGCACAATTCATAATTGCAAGGCTGTGGAAACAGCCCAAGTGCCCATCAATCCAAGAATGGATTAATAAAATGTGGTATAGTGTATACCATGGATACTATTCAGCTTCTAAGAAACAACGGTGATATAGACACTTTTATTTTCCTGGTTAAGCTGGAACCCATACTACTAAGGAAGTATCCAAGGAAAAAAACAAGCACACATATCTCACCGCAACAGTGGATAACTGAGAGCACTTAAAAGTTGTGACACCATAAGTAACACAGAATGAGGGTTAAACGGTCCAGGGTGAAAGGGTGCGGTTATAGTAATTTACATAGTGAGAGTGCACATCTGGATGTCCATGCGGAGAACTCAAATGTGGTGGGGATGGCTGTGTATATTGTAAAACCTTTTATACTGTGTACCTTTCCTCCTCGCGCGCCTATAATATTCCAAAATAAAAAATAACAACAACAAAAAACAAGCCGGTGAGGAGCAGCCGAGTTGCTCGTGCCAGTGGTCAGGGCAGTGCGTGCACTGTTAGGTCTGAGCTGTCCCACCTTCTCCAGTTTAAACGCCGGCCCCCTGGAGCCGCACCGGGCACAGCTGACCACAGGCAGGTAGGACAATTGGGGTTGGGGGCCTGACCTCTGCTAATGTCAGCTGTCCCAGGGCAGAGGTGGGGTGGTCTCCGCTGGCTTGTGGAAGGAGGGGAAGGGGGGTCTGCTCCTTGGCGACATTTCGAAATGGGTCTTCCGGCACCTCTCCACACTGGAGTCCAGCTCTGGTCCGGCAAAGCGAGAAGTCAGGCCAGGCCAGCAGGGTGAGCAAAACGGCAAAGGGCCAGGCCCAGTAGAGGCGGGGATGGGACATCCTGCGGTGGCAGCAACCAGGCACAAGGCAACACTGCAGACTGATGTCAGCACAGCGGAAGCTTCCAGAGTGACCCACCCAGGGCCTTTCAGGACCTAGCAAGGCAGCCCTGCTCCTCCTGGTGGATTATTTTTCTCTACGGGGGACCTGCCTCTGTGGGGCACACCCCAAGTTAGACTAAACTGGCCCATGCGGTGTGGAGGGCAGGGCCTGGGGCTGCCATCCAGACTGGATCCCCTGGCAGTGGCGAACAAAGGCCATAGCAAGGTGAGAGAACCTTGGAGAGGCAAGTGAATGTCCTGCTTGGGTGTAAAGGGCCTCTGTGGACCTGCTGAGGGCAGGCTGACCCAGCTGTCCTTTGGCTTCCTGGATCTGATTACACCAGCCAGCTGTGCCCTTCTGACAACAGAGTCACCAGTGCCTGGGGGCTCTCTTCTGACTCACTAGGGCCTTCAGGGTGGAACCCATAGATAAGGCCCCAGTCTGGCTTGCTGCTAAGAATCATGGAACTGAGCATGTTTCCCTTATCACTCAGGCTGCTAGGAGGCTCAGAAGTGCACAGTAGCAGGCCCAGAGCAAGTCAACAGCACTCACAAGACGACATTTTCTGAGACTCCTTCACATGCAACTGTCTATATATATATATATTTTTTTTAAAGCCAGTCAAATTTAGCAGTGGGGGGTTGAATACCAACTTTAGTGACACTAATGTGAATAAGTTCTGATAACCCACTACCATCGGACCAGCCTACTGTCTATATTTTTTCAGCCGTTATTCTCAGCCTGATTCCTTTTTATCTTCACATTTTTAATAAAGCAGCATGAAAATAAAATGGAATAAATAAGCACTGGCACTCAGGGTCTCAGATGCGTCTCTCAGACAGCCTGGAGTTCATCATACCCACCCTGCTTTAACAAATGGGGAAACTGAGACTCGGAAAGATGACAAGACCTTCCCCAAAGGACATTAAGAAGTTGGCTGAGTCAGGACTTGAGCCCAAGTTCGGGTTCCCAAGCTAGCGCCTCTCTTGCTCACTGCATCGTGGACCACTGTAGCCCTCTGTAGCGCAGGTGGCCCAGCCTGGGGCTAAAGCCGTGGAACCAAAATGGGCCCCAGCTGGTGGCATTTCTGCTTCCACTACAAACCACCAGGTGCAACAATGAAATTGGATGTCACGTTTACACGCCAGCCACTGTCCTGAGCACGTTACACGAGTGGCCTCACTGAGTCCTCCCAACATGCAGCAGGCTGCCATTCCCACTTGACAGGTGAGGAAACTAAAGCCAGGGAGATGACGTAACTTGCACAGTGTCACACAGTGAGGATCACACGCAATTCCCTAGGATGAGTCACGGGATTTCTCCCAGCCGTAGGGCTGTCCTGAGCCCCTTCCACCTGCCACATTCAGCCCGAGTGAGGTGACAGGGGCCCCCTGCAGAATCCCCCTGTGATCAGTGAAGACAGCCCAGCGGATGGAGCAGCCACATCGCATCAGGGCCACACAACACAAGAGAGCCCGCCCTGCGCCAGGCACCGCGCCAGGCCCTGGGGACGTGGGGAGACAAGACGCACCAAAACCCCTTCCCTCGTGGAGCCTGCACAGGGCTGGGCAAGGAGACTGCAATAAACTCAAAATAATGAGTCAGATAATAGCATTGAGCGTTAGAAAGTCACGCTCTGGAGAAAGGCAAAGCGGGGTACAGGGCGGGGGCAGCGGGTCCGCTGAGAAGCAGTGGTCGGGCAGGCTCGCCGAGGGCACGTGTGAACAGACTCCACACAGGTGGGGGCACCAGGGAAGAATGTTCCAGGCGGAAGGAGCAGCCGGTGCTCAGGCAGGAGTGCGTGTGCGTGAGGGAGGAACAGCGAGGAGGGTGGGATGGAGCGAGCCAGGGGACACTGGGGCTGAGGGGCAGAAAGGTGGCTTTCACCGGAGGATTCAGAGCAGAGGAGTGCTATGGCCAGAACTGGGTTCGAACAGCTTGCTTTGGCTGCTCTGCGGAGAACAGACTGTCGCCTCAAGGGCAGCACAGGGAGCCAGGAGAAGCCACTGCACTGTCCAGGCGAGAGTCGGGGTGGCTTTGACCCAGGGTGGTGGGTGCAGAGCATGGTCAGATTCTGCTGACGAGCTGGGTGGGAACTGTGAGCAAGGCCCCAGCTCCGGCGGCCCCAGGCACTGTAAGGAGGGACTAGCCTTTGCCTGAACCGCCTTCGGGGAGCCGGGAAATGGCAGGGATGGGGCTGCAGCCAGCGTCTATCTCTACAGGGCCTTGCTCTAACCTCCTCAGACACCAACACTGAGGCTGAGCAGGAGGGACACAGCCACGGCCACACAGCGGGCTCACGGCAGGGCCTGGCACCAGCCTTGGTCTCTGGATGCAAATCTCAGGTCCCTTCTGCAGCATGCTCTGCCTAGGAGTGTCACAGGATGGGTGGAGGTAGGGTGGGGCTGGGGAGGAGGACTTGGGGTGGAGGACATTGTCCAGTCCACAGCCCCACTCCCACCTCGCTTCCCAGGATGCACTTGGTGTGAGCCCCCCCCCCAGGAACTCGGGACCCCAGGAGGGGCTCACTGCCCAGAGAACAAGCTTAGCTGAGGAAGGACTTGGGGACTCTCGTGGGCTGAGCCACTGGGAACAAAACCCCTCTCCAAGTCCTCCTTGCTGCTGAAGCTGCTCTCTGGGAGCTCAGAGGCCACACTTTGGCCCTTACCCGGTTCAGTAAAATTCACCTAGCATTTCTTAGATGCCTGCTCCGTGCTAAGGTTGGCCTAGAACCCAAGCTCCTTTGCCCCAAGCCAGAGCCACCCTGAGCTCTCTGACTCTTTAGAGAGTGCACTGAGCCACCTTCTGGGTTTTGTGGCCACTGTGAACCAGAGCAGGTCACTCGGCCTCTCTCAGCATCAGCTCCTCCATCTCTCAAAGGGTGTTGCTGTCCCTGCTCGCCCTCTTCTCCTGAGGATTGGAAAGACCCCCCGCAGTCCCAGCCCCTGCCCTTCCAACACTCGCTACCAGCTCGTCTCCCCCGGACATCTGCCCTCCCAGCTGGAACACAAGCTCCCTGGAGCAGGGAAATGTACACAGCAGGTGCTCAATGAGGCAGCCCTGCAATGGTCTAGACCTCCCCAATGTGCTCTCCATCACGTTCGTATGCTCGGACTACCGGGTTCAAATCCCAGCTCTGCCATTCCTGTCTGCGTGACCTTGGGCAGCTCAATCACTTTTCTATACCTCTGTTTTCTCATCAATGAAGTGAGGGCTTGATAAAAATCCACGCTAAGTACCTAGCACACAGTAAGCACTCAATAAGCACTAGCTCTTCTTATCCCTGTTATTATCCCCCAGCCTGGCAGAGGAGGGAGAGCCCTCAGGCGGGGCACAGCAGCAGCAAGGGTTTGGAGGTGGCCCCTAGCAGGGCCTCGGTCTGTTTCAGAGCAGCAGGAGCAGAGCCTGGTAGGGGAGGGGACGTGGGCTGGGAAGCCACGCTGCCTGGGGACCCAGGAAAAGGAAGGTTGAGACCCCCTGGGAGGACCCCCACCCCCACCCCTGTGAGCTGCACCTAGCCCCAGGGCCCTGGGTCTCTTCTGAGCAGGAGATGGTGGTGGGGATGGGGTGGGGAGCAGGTGCTTCCTGGTAGCCAGGCAATCCCGGCCCCAGGAGGCTGAATGTGACCCATGATGGCAACAGGACTCAAGCCTGTGCCCATGGCCTGGAAAGTTCAAGCTAGGCAGATTCTCCTCCTTCCCTTCCTCTTCCCGCTTTGCCCTTCTCCGTGTGCCCTTTTTCTCTGGGCTCTGCTTAGAAGACTGATGGGGTAAGGGAGGGACACTAATGGGGGAGCCCAAACCCTTCAGAGTCAGGGCTCAGTCCAGCCGGGGGCTCCTGGCCAGAGAGAAGAGAGGTGCTCCCCGGAGGCCACAGGCTGTGACTGTAGGGCTGGCCACGCGGCAGCAGCCTCCCAGCGCAGACACACACTGACAGCTGTCACCAGGGTGACGGGAGGCTCCATGGAACTCTCCGTGGTCCTGAGCTCGCTTGCGCTGACCAGGGTCCTAACTTGGCCTGGGGGTGCCCTTGGCCTCACCCTGGCCCCTGCCAGCCTCCTCCGTGGTTCTGACAGCTCATGTCCTAATGGCCACTTCCCTTCTCCACCCCCTGCAGACCCCTTCCCTGCCTGCCTCTCAACAGCTGATGTCTGCTGTCCTCAGCTCTGGGACTGCCATCAGGCACTCAACTCCCCCAACTGGGAGAAGGGGCCAGCTATCGTCGGTGTCAGCAGTGGGCAGGCCCAACCCCTTGCGGGCACTCGGAATGTCCACGAGGGGAATTTGGGAGGTCACCCGGTGTACTTGGTCTCCACGCCAGGGCAAGACCTTGCCCATCCACAACCCCCAGGCCGAGAACACCTATGGGATGGACCCTCCCCACCTCCCTGCGCCCACCCCAGTCCTGCCCTGCGCGAGCTGGGAGGAAGGCGGGAGGTACACCTTGGCAGCCTGCCATGCCCAGCAGCCCTTGAAGCACAGGGCAGCCCGAGGGCTGTGACCGCCAGACCTGAACACTGCCTGTGACCTGGGCAAGTTACTCCACCTCCCTACACCTCAGTCCCCCCTCCATAAAACGGAGGTATAACGGTCCATCTCATAGGGCTACTGTGAGAATCCAAGGAGTTAATCCACGCAAAGGGCTGGGAAACACACCTAGGCACACAACAGATGCTTGGTGAGTAAGAGCTGGCCTCCACCATTACTGCAAGTCTGGAGGATTTAGTTTGGATCCTAGAGCTGTGACTTACTAGCTGTGTGCCCTTGGGCAAGTTACTTAGCCTCTCTGATCCTCAGCCTTCTGAGATGTAAAAGGAAGCTGTCATCCTCTCATTTGCAGTCCTGTGGGAGACCTGGATGGGCCCCGGTGTCAAAGCATTCTGCTTGGAGCTGGCACTTGGTAGATGTTGTATAAATGCCTGGTTTTTTTTGCTTCCTTCCATTTGGGTTTCCTGCCAGACAACCAAATACAGATGACCCCCCGAACAGGCCAGGCCTTGCTGCCGGCCAGCTTTGTTACCTTCAGTAAAGACAACAAAGGCACCTTTGTTAAGGTACAAAGGTAGCTGGGCCAATTAGGGGGCTGCTTAGCCCTGGCTGGCACCGCCTCCCTAGGGGCATTTCTCAGCAACTCAACAGGCTTCCAGGACCTAAACCAGACCCAGGGGATCTGGAGCCCACTGACATTTCCAGACTCCTCTCCCAGCCCAAGGGCCCTTGAGAAAGAACACCGTCCACGCCTTCAGGCCAGGCCAGTGCCCCTGCCAAGTGACATCTGGCCTCTGCTTGTCCTGTTCTTGGTGTGGCCCGTCCCAAGCCCCTTAGGCTGCTAGAAATTCTTCCTTCTGCCCTTCATCAGCTTCCGCGGAACTTCCACTACCGGTTCCGGTTCTTTCCTGTGACAAGGCAGAGAAGATAGCGACCACCTCCTCTGGTCTTTGGGGCTAAATAAGGGTCCTTCCAGCTGGAGGTTCCATGACCCCGTATAGGGTGACAGAGGAGGTGCCACGGAACACAACAGATCCCAGAGTTCTAGGAAGATTCAAGCAACAACTGATGCTGTGCTTGTTTCTTCGACTCTCATCGTTTGATTCCTTCTTCTGATGAACCTCCATCAGGCGGGGCTCCACAAGGGGGAGGCCCACACACAGCGGTCACTCTACAGCCACCGTATCACCCAGGCTACTGGTACACATGTGCCGAGCCCCTGCGTGCGCACTGCTGCCGCAAGTGCCGGAGAGAAGTCAGAGGCGGATTCCTGGGCCGCCCTTGGAGGTGGGTGTGTGTGACTCCACTTTGCAGATGAGGAGATGGAGGCCTCGAGAGGCTGAGCTGCTCACACAGTGAACGCAGCTGATGGGAAGGAAACAGGTGGCAACGGAGACGCCCCCCAAGCATCCTGCACCTGCGCACAGGTGGACCTAAGGCCCAGAGGGCTGCAGACTCGGGGGTTCTGCCTCAGGCTAAACACAAGTGGCCTGGCTGAGGGAGGGTCTGGGGCACCGTGACTCCCAGCCCCCAGGAGTTCTGCCCTCCCAGCATGCTCAGAGGAAGGGAGTCTGCCCTCCAAGGTCAAGGACTCCATCTTCCCTGGGTGGCCAGAGAGTCTTTGCAAATCCTGCTCGCCATGGGCAGGGGGACAGCTGCTGCTGTGCACGTCCATGGGAAGAAACCAAGGCCCACAGGGAGAGCCAGAGCTACAGTGGAGCAGTTCTTGGGCCAGCCAGGCAGCGCTCTGGGAAGACAGGGTGCCCAGGCCACTGGATACCCAACTGCCCTGGGCATGATAGTCTGGGCCCCACAGAATCAGCCCTGCTCTCTCCATTGGCTCAGCTCCAGGGTGGGGGCCTTGCCAAAGGCTCTCAGTCCCACGCCCACCCCAGGACTCCCTACCCTGGCGAAGCCTGGCCCTCCCCAACGCCAGTTCCCGTGCACCCTGGCCCTCCCTCCCCTCTGAACCCAGTCCCCGTTTAGCCTGATCCTAGACCCCTGCGGGCTGTCTGAGAACTTTCCCACAGAGTGGCTGGCAAGTGCCTGGGAAAGTTGGTTTCCAAAGCTGGGACCTGTCCCCGTTAGGACTCTGCCCCTCCCTACACTGGTCACTGGCCCCCCCAGGACATCAGCTTCTGGTTCCCAGAGACCCATGGGCAGCATAGAGATGGAATATCTCCACCATCCTGGAATGTTCTACTGGATAGCACTGGAGGCTAAACAGACTAATCATCCTCAGGCATCCTCCAACAGGGTGGCTGTGCTCAGAAGCCTCAGAAGCCTCCCATCGTCCAGCAACGAGGTTCACGGCCATCGAACCCCCTGCCTTGCCTATTCACGTTGACTACGATGGCCAGGACTTACCGCAGGCCTAATATATGCCAGGCATCGGCAGGGGCTTCACGTGGACTTTACCATCCTTGGAGGTAGGCATTATTATCCCCATTTTGCAGATGAGGAAACTGAGGTTCCAAGGGTAAAGCAACATATAGACCATTCCTCTGCTCACCTGTGCAAACCTACTGCTCTCCAGGGCCTCCACCTAAGGGGGGGCAGTGGAGCAGAGGCAGGCCTCAGCCCCGGGCCCCTGAAGGCTCTGAGAACAGGGAGCCCCGTCAGCCTGAGCCAATCTGCTCGGCCTTCAGCATTGTCCTGTAGCCCTTTCTGGCATGGTGGGAATGTTCTAGGCCTGGGCTGTCCCACACAGTAGCCATAACCACACGTGTCTATGAGCACTTGAAATTGATGGCGGCAACTGAGGAACTAATTTATAATTTAAACAGCCACATGCTGTAATGGCTACTGCACTGGACCATGCAGATTCAGATGGAACCAGGGAGAACGGGAGGCAGGGAGCTGGGTGCGGGAGGAGGCCGCAGAGGGACTGAGGGGAGCACGTCCGGGGATCAGCCCAGGGGCGTCCCCTGTCCACGCCATGGTGGACGGGGCAGGGGGCGGGACAGAGGTGAGTTGAGGACGCAGCCCCAGCAGAGAGGGCTTGTTAAACACTGGGTGACCATGGGAGGGAGGGGTGCAGCTCTGGGGGCAGCTGGACACCCCAGGCTGGAGGCATTAGCAGGCGACTGGCTGAGGAAGCCAGGGCTCCCAAGACTGGGAGGGGAGGGGAGGCGGAAGGCAGGGCCTGGGAGCGTGCAGGGAGAAGGAAGAGGGGAAAGGCGTGACAGGTGGTCAGCAGTGTCCGTGTGCATGGAGCCCCGGCAGGAGGCCTGTGCAAGCAGCTAGGGGCCAGCGGTGACAGGAGGGGGCAGGCGAGGTGGGGCTCCCCCATCTCGGATCTTCAGCCCCCACCCAGGCAGAGAAGGAACCGTGTGAACACCAGAGGGCAGATGACAGATGCACCACCCTGGGCTGGGACCATGTGCACGGCTCAGAGGGGCCCTCAAGACTCTGGCTGAGTCCTACACAGTGCCTGGAGTGGAGAGGTGCAGACCTGGCCCGTGGGGACAGCCAGGCCACGAGTGGGAAGTGGCCCTTAGCAGCCCAGAGGGCACGTGGCCCGGCCCAGAGCAGACACTGGGTGAACGTTTGGGATAAACCAGAGGAAGAAGCGTGCAGGGTGGGACTTCAGGCACAGGCCTCTCCATCTCAGGGACACAGCTATCCCTTGTGAGGACAGTCCCCTCCAGCAGGGCCACACACAACCATACCCCTGCCCGATGCAGAACTGAGAGCCGTGGGGGTCAGGCCAGGGTGCAGGGAAGGTGCCCTGGGGCTGCAGGAGGGTCTGGGGGCACATGATGCTGCAGTGGGACAGTGTAGCTTCTGCCTGTCCTGAGTGGGTGGAGCGGGCAGGTCGGCCTCTGGGCTTGGCGCTGGGGTGCAGCCGGAGCAGGCCACGGGGACGAGGCCCTCAGAGAGCTCAGTCCAGAGGAGGGGACAAAGGCAAGCCAGAAAACCGGCCAGCAGAGGATGCCAGGTGTCAGGGGCCTCCTGAGAGAAGGACAGTTAAGCCAAGACCGCAGGTCCGGAGAGAGCCAATGCGAGGAG